ACTTAAATCTATGTAATGACTGTGTGCAGGTAAATTTTCACCTGAAATCGTTTTACTTCCACCTGTTTCCTTTGAAGAGTTTGCACAATACAAAAACCTGTCGACTATTTGTTCCCATGCACCAACACCAAACATTACTTGAGGACCTCTTGCATCCATAGATGTATAAATAGAACCTACTGGGTTCATTAAATCAAACATATGAGATATTATAGGATTGTCTCTTTTGAACTTAAAATATAGTGCAACTATTTCAGGTTTCTTCTGGTTTGTGTCAGAATATTTTTTATAATATAATCTTATGTTTTCATGGTAAGTAAAGTCTTGACTATAATATTTATTTCTGTCATCTGTATAATAATATACTATTCTCGTTTTTTCTATTGCATTATATCTTTTATATCTATAATAATCTAAATATAATGTTAGCTTTTGTTCATCTACATGTGGTGTTCTGTCGTCATCTCCATAGTCATAATAATGTGGTGCCGGAGCTGGGTCAGGTAATATCATATCCACCATTTCATAAACTCTTAAATATTTCTTTTGTTCGTCTCCATATAAGTTTAAGTAGCAGTTGTTGTCTAATGGAACTTTAACTTGTGTACCATCATTCTTTTTATAGCTTACATACATTTCATTGTTATTTTTCGGAATGATTTTACACCGTGTACCATTTTTTAAGGACTGTACAAACTGCCATCTAAAATATTTATTTTCTTCATTGACAGAAAAGTCACCAACAATAGTTTCAATATTTTTTGTTGTTCCTATCAAACTTTGGTATATTTCATTGACATATGTTTTATCTGCTTTATTTTCAAGGCTAACGTTTAAGTCTGTTATTTCAGAAGATGTATGTGTATGTCCAACGTCACTTTTCCTGTTTAAGGTTTCTTGTAAGTTTGTAATATTTGCAATGGTATGTGTATGTCCAACGTCATTTTTCCTGTTTAAGGTTTCTTGTAAGTTTGTAATATTTGCAATGGTATGTGTATGTCCAACGTCATTTTTCCTGTTTAAGGTTTCTTGTAAGTTTGTAATATCAGATATAGAATGTGTATGAGTCTTATCTGCTTTTGTCTCTAATGTTTCCTTAAGACTTGGTATTTGGTTAATATAATGTATATGAGTCTTTTTAGAATATTCGTTTTCAGCTCTTGTCACTTCACTTGACATTTTATTGTCAACATATGTTTTGTCTGCTAGTTCAGGATGAGTATGTTCTTTTGTTGCATAAGCTTTGTTAGCTCTTTCTTCTTCTTTTGCTATTGCATCGTCTACATATTCTTTGTCAGCTTTGTTGTCAACATCTGCTTTTAAAAGAAGTTCATTTATAGGTTTCTCGTTTAAAGTTCCTTTTGTTGGATTTATACAGACAGTATTGTTCTTATTGTCTTGAAATAGAAACTCATCTGTTATAGGGTTTAATGTCAGTTTTAAGTCACCCCCTTTCAATGACTCAGATATCTTAGAATAGTTTGAAAAGTTTGTTGTGTTCTTATTTAGAGCTTGCATAATGAGTTGTCGGTTGTGTTGTATTTCTCTCATAGACGCTGTTTCATTTGACATTTTTATTATAGATAAAATATGCTTCCAATAGAAAAAGAAAATTCTAGAGTTGCTACATCTAAACCATTAGATGAACTTTTTACTAATGTCGGTCAAAAGTTTGAAACAGATACCGTAAAGCATGAAGGCTATCGTTTTGACTACCCATTAAGATGGTTAAGAGACCCATCTGTCACAAAAGCTATTGGCTTTCGAAGAATAAAGTTTGTGTCTGTAGAAGATAAAAGTTTTCCATTTATTGTAAGGTTTCATATAGATTATACATCTGAAGGGCAACGAAAAATGTGGGAAGAAATTGAGCTAATACAAGTTGACCTCTCATCTTCTCTACAGACTGCATTAAAAAATATAGAAGATAAAATAAATTCATGTTATGCAAAATATGCTGATGAATATGCGAATACCGATAGCACACTTTATGTGAGAATTGTATATGACAAACAAAATTCACAAGTGTCATTTCAAATCTACGAAGACAATCCAAATAAAGACGAACAAATATATACAGAATTCACTGCAATGTCATGGTATTATTTGCAAAGAATGTTAAATCAGAAAGTTGAACCTCCTTTAGCAAATATCTACAGTCGATATGCAAGAGATGAACCATATTTATTTAAAGATGTTTTCGACCCAGATGCTATTATTGTTCATGCTTCATTTTCTGGCGCCCAAAACTCTTTCTTATGCTTGGCAAATGACTTTTACGAAAAACCTACAAAGTTATACGAACCACCAAGTGGAAGTATTTCAGACTTTCAAGTATGGTTTACTACAGATGGAAGAAAAAGAATAATTCCATTATACCATGCGTTTTACTTAGAACTTAGTTTCATATACAACTACTATCAAACGATAAAAATATAACTTTTTAATATACCGGTTGTGGTTGCCAACTTGACTGTGGTGCAGGTTCAGGCTGTTGTATTACAGGAGCTTGTTCTTCTGGTTCAGGGTCTTTAGGTATAATACCAACGAACTGACCTACTCTTTTACCAATATTTTTGACACCGTTCCATACTCCTCTTCCGACAGATTTTATTCCATTCCATATACCTCTTCCAACATTTCGAAAGAAGTTTCCTATCTTACTGAAGAAACTCATTTTACTATATGTAAAAATCTAATGTCCGCCTAGTCTTTTGCGTTTCCTGTTGAGTTCCATAGCATTCTTTAACTGGAGCTCATACATTCTGTTTCTCCTCTGGTAGAAAACATATTCTGGGTCAACTCCTGTGTTCGCGTCATCTGCATAAAGTTGTTTATATCCCACTTCAGGGTTTGTATAAAACTCTTTCCATCTCATATTTGCATACCATGGTGGCAAACCTAACGCAGCGTCATTTGACATGGCAGTTTGCATTTGTACATCTGTTGGCACTTGACCATAGTTTGCCATTGCAGTTTGTATTCTAACTTCATTTGGAATATTCTCTGGGTTTGGTTGTCCAGGTTGCTGTGCATTCGCTAAGTTCTGTGCGTCCATTTAATATTAGATAAAAATATCTCTTACGAGTACATATGCTGAACATTTGCAGGCATTGGTTCATCTTCATATTCTCTGTACTTTTCTGCCACGTCAAATAAATAAATGACACAATGGAAAAAACCTAAAACAAGTAGTCCTATTTCAAACCACATTTACTTACTAATAAAATTTCTTTATTGTGACACTTTCTCCAGTTTATAGGACCTCTCTCATATTCTATCTTGTCATATATAAACTCATAGTCATGTATGTCCTCTAACCATCTCATAACGGTTTCCAAACCACTTTTATCGGATGTAAAGTAAAAGCATGGATGGTTATGTAAAACGTCTAAAGTTTCTAAAGAGTCTCTCAAAGTCCAGTCTACTTGGTATTGAAAATCCCATGTGTTATAGAACGGCGGGTCCACTATAAAGAAAATATTTTCCTTGTCTTTATATTTTTCATACAACTCTGTCCAATGACATCTCACAAACTCTATACCCTCAATATATTTTTCTATGTCCTCTTTGAAAACATTTGTATAGTTAAGATATAAAACTTTTGACATAAGTGTTTCAATGTCATGAACTCTTACAGCACCACTATATAATAGTCTAGCAGATATACTATCCCAGTCTATATATTCTGCTTTTTTCAAAACCTCTCTCACAATATTTTTCTTATCTAATGGTATACGTTCCATCTTACCTATAGGTATCTTTTCTTTTAAGGATGGGCACTCATTAGGGTGATGAAAAAAATCAAGTCTAGCAAAGTCAATATATTAAAAACAGTGAAGACTATTATATAGCATTATAGTGCACAAGCTCAAATATTTAGTGATGCATTTCTCGAACTTATTTTATTTATAAGTTAACCTTGAAACATGAATTTTAGTATATCATGAGCATATTTTTTTCTAATTTTGCAATACTTATAATATCATACCAGGATTCATGTGGAAGTCTAATATTTGGTATATAATATTCTTACAATAAATGTATTAATTCAATTATATTCAAAATGATGGGTCGCAATTTTTACTGAAATTGCAAATTTAATTTCAACAATGAAATTATTGTTTAAAAAAAAATAGCACAACAGCAAGATGGACAATCATATATAGAATTATAATGCTCCATATAATGCTTTGATTTGATGCGTATATAATGTTATTTTTCGAACATCTTTGTAAAAAATTGATTTTTGTAATTTTTGAAAAAATTCGATTTTATTTCGAGATTTCCTCTATAGGTGAAGTATATTGAACAATATTCCTATGGGAGAAAATAATTGTAAGTATGAGTACTTTCATTAATACTATGGGTGCCATGGTTATCGCTCAAACGATCAAGTTATATCTCGATTGCGTAAATTGAAATTTTGCTATTTTCTAAATTCACGGCAACAACATTCTTTTATCCTGATCGTACATCACAATATTTGAATGTGCGACCATTTGTTCAAGAAACCGTCAAGTTATTCTTCATTTTTCATGCCGCGGCGAACAAAAGCAGTTGCAAAGCGTATAAAGAACTTAGTTCAAAGCGCGAAAAATAGGGTAGAGCCATATGTCGTCAACACTGTTGAATTTGTGCTATCTGTATTATTGAGCGGCGCTACATTTTGCCAATCAGAATTTCAATTCATGCTGAATAACATCAAAGTTCCGTCAGAAGCTACATTTCATCGAGTCCAAGAAAAGGTTGGTCGTGTTATCATAGAAGTTGCCAGAGAATCTGTTAATTATTGGAAATCTCGAATGAGAAAATGTTCGGGACTTTTGTTTGACGGTTCTTGGAGTCAGAGAAGAAATGCAATGTTTTGCTATGTACAATTTGTAGAAGAGAAACTCAAAAAAATTGTAGATTGGGAAGTGATATCTAAATCTTTTAAAAATTTCAAAGGTAATTTCAACGGAAAATCAAATGAAATGGAATTTGAAGGCTTAAAAAGAATGCTGAAGCGTTGGAATAATGAAAAACGTGTAAATTTTTTTGTGCATGATGGCGATGTCAAAATTGTTTCTACAATCAAAAATACGTTCAAAGGTATCAGAGAATACAGAGATCCTGGACATTTTCTTAACAATATACAGAAAAAGCTCAAACTGCCAGAATTCAGAATCTTATCTAGCATTTCAAAGAATTTATTGCGTTGGCTTAGGCAACTTCTCAATGACACACATATGTCAATTAAAACAAAGAAGTTTTTATGGTTGAATTCCGCTAAACATTATGCCGGAAATCATAAATTTTGTCCAGATCCTGAAAAATGCAAGATGATTAAACCATGGAAATATGCAAAAAATAAAACTGCTATAAAAACACTTAAAAAATTCCTCGAAGATACCGTAAAAATCTTTGATATGGTAAAAAAGATTCATTCAACTCAAGTAGTTGAATCGATAAACCATATCAAAGCAATGCTTGCTAATAAAAATATTAATTGGCATGCTTCTTGGCCAATTAGGATGGCAGTCACAATATTGCATTTCAATGAAAGTATGTTTGAAACGATTGTAGCAATAAGATACAGGTTAAATTTACCAACAATGCCAGAAATGATGAACAGATATTTCAGAATGTATGATACAACAAAAGATTTAATCAAAGCATTCAAAAATTCAAAGCAAGTTCAAAAAAAGTTTGCGGCATTAAGAGCTATAAAGAGAGGTCTTCAAGCTACCGATGATCGTATTACTCTTAAATCACATAAATAATTATTAAATTTATTTCACCCTCAAAACATCATAATCTTGCACCTTCTTTGAATAAACACTTTCACCTTCTATTTTTAATTAATGTTTTTTAATTGTCCAAAATTTTTAGATTATATAAGATATAATTTTTTATAAAAGTATTATTTTCTAAAAGATAAGTATATATTCTTAATCACAAAACCTAGCATTTTATCATATCTATATATCAGCTTCCTAAATATAATACTCATATAGTTAGTATGATTTTAATGTTTTTGAACATGAAACGAAAATATGATTACAATCATATAACATAATGGAGTTATTGATATAACTTATATGCATGATACATTAAGAAGTCTTCCAACAATATAGATATAGTTGTAGATTCCTATGATTCCTTTTATATTGTGAGATAATAACATTTTTATGCTGTCAGGAGCCTATGAGTGCCCATCCTTAACTCTTTCAATATATTGTTTGTGTCTGGAATATGTTTGAGACGGTCCATATAGTTGTCGAAGTCATTGCATATAATCTTTGAGTCAGGAAATACGGTATGACATAAATGGGATATATAGAAACTTCCACCGAACAAATCTACAAATGTTAGACTATTCGGTAGTTTCTTAAGTTCTCTCAATATAATATCTTTACATCTACTCTTATTTCCAAAGAACGGTAACGGTGGTTTTGTAAAATTCATTTATATATAATAATAAAAATGTTTTTACCCGAAAAGTGACAGAAAAGTGACAAAACATGAAAACATATATAATTTGTGAAAAGTGACACATTATATAATGTTTTCGACCCAGAAGACTAACAATTTTCCGAATAAAAACTTCATTTCAAAACAAACTAAATTTGATATTGACGAAGAAGTTAAAAAAGAAATTATTTCGGAAGACAGAAGTCAAAACAATTTGGACCAAAAACCTCAAATCTTCACAAGGTTACGCAAAATACCCAATCATCCCATCGAAAACTGGATTAAAAGTCAAGAAATTACGAATCTGATTCAAAAATCTCCAAACCAAACCATTTACATTAATTCGTCTCCCGGATCCTACATTGTATTAGATAATTCACAAGGAAGATGCATTATCAATGTTGCCTCTCAAAAATACGCAATTAATAATAATGATTTTAAAGATTTGAGTGGTATCATTGATAACAGATACAAAATTACAAGTGCTGCCATTATAGATGGTTGTTTGACTTTTATTCTCCTTAATAATTATGAAGTCAGTGTTATTGTTTACAGAAACAGTGAAATTCCAACTGATCCAGGAATGGGCGAAATCATCGATTTGGATGTCAAACAGCTTTTTCAGGAACATGCATTCATATTATTAACAATGAATTGCATATCTATACTGCATCCAATAGCATTACCATTTTCGATTTAAGAAACATGATAATCGTTGACGAAAAGCCTCAATATTACATCTATTCAACCGTTAACTTTTCTGAAAAAGAAATTTTTGGAATCAGTTTTCACGAAGATACAATACTTGTTGATATCCGGCCGAAAGGAAAATGCGAAGATTATTTGACAATCATTCGTCCATGCTTCACAACAGAATCACAAATAGCTGTTTCATTGATGATATTTTGATGGAAATTACAAACTCATTAATTTCACTCATCAAAACAGGAAAAGCACAATGTGATTATGCAGACAATCCCACTCAGCACGTTGAATTCATTCTTGGTATAATCAAGGAATTGAATAACTCAAGCATCGACAAAAATCTCATGAATTTCTTAAATCTTATGTTAGACAGATTATTAATCTTGAATCTCAGACAAATTTATTCATCAAACAAAATGATCAATGACAAAGATAAATCGCAAATCGTCGCTTTCTTTGGAAAACAATTACCAACTGCTCCAATCCAAGAAACATATGGTATGATGATAAGAGCAGTCAAATATGGAATTTACTGGCCAAATTTTGGAACAAGAATTGAAAATGATTATTTTGCATTTTACCAACCTGAATTGTTACTCAACGATATATACAAATTGCCACAGAGTGTTTTCTTCCCATGGTCAAACATAAAGGCTCGGAATTCCAAAGTTTTCGCTGAATTCATCATTGAAAAAATTTATGACTTGTATACAATTGTTAAACACATGAGCGATACAACGAAACAATACTTCGACCAAGAATTTATTTCTTTCATTGATTTTGTTTTTAACATGTATGATAAGCAAAATAAGGAATTTTATGAACCAGTTCTTAAAGCACTTCTTTCAGTACTATCAGTAATACCAATGAGACCTTATCTTGTTAAATGTGTTATCACAAACTTGGATAAACTTTTCAAAACAGATATTATCTGGAAATACTTTATCAAGCAAGATTCCAATTTTACTGAGTTAATATTGAAATATTTGATCAATTATGGAGAAAGCACCGAAAGACAACAAATCGAAAAACCAACATCAATCTCATTAAACACAACAATTTTCGCTCCTGAAAATGTTTGTGGAGATATCGAAACTTATTTTGCAACTCCTTTCAGAAAGATTAAAGTAACACAGAAAGATTTTGTTAAAGGACAAGTAAATCAAAATGCTTTCTTTAACTACGAAGAATTGTTATCCGAATCAGCAGAGATCAATGGACAAAATGTGAGCATTGATATCATTGGAAACAATAAAAGTACTCAATATATTCTGAAGGAATTGTCTCGAAAATCTGTTCCCAAGATTTTTCAAAAGCAGATCCAACATATGCTTTATTCCCATATTTATTCATCAAATGCGCTCAAAACTCAACAAAATCAATTCCTCTAACGGAAATGGAGCAAGCTCATGCTGATATATTGAGCCTTCTGTATTGCGATAAACCCAATGAAGAATACTCTAATTTTAGAACGAATTTGAGAGATGTTTATTCTGCAGCCGAAAGGGATTATCAAAATCCAAAAAGTATTTTCCATATCATCGCAAAGGCAACAACACAAAAAATGTTTAGAAAGAGGACATTTAATATTGACGTTGAAGTCCTTACAGTTAAAATAATGCTTTCAATCATTTGGTCATGCAATTTGTTAAAGGAATATACTGAATTCGAAACAGAACCAACTATAGCAAAGTTTGATACAATTTTCAAACCTTACTTACCAAAGGTACAAAAGATAAAATTAGAATTAATTAATCTTTTGAACACTACGGAATATAGTGGAGTGTTGAATTCAATAAACCGAAAATTCCATACTATATAATTGAAAAAGCTTATCTTGATCCAACAGACGATCAACAAGCTAATAAATCAACAGACAATCAGCCAGCAGACAATCAGCAACCAAAGCCTTCTCCACAGACTGCGAGATATGAAAAAATAATTGCTTTTTATTCTTTTGAATTTGATTATACAGAATTGGTTGCGATCGAAAAAAATAAGTCATTAAGAGAAGAGTTGCCAAATGAAGTGAATTTGATAATCTTGAATTTCTTCAAAAAACTTCGCAAATTGAAAGCAGAATCGTTTGCTATTCCTTTTGCGAGAAGTTTAGTTCAACATTTAGATTTCATTATCTACCCAAAAACAGGAAAAAATCACAAAATCATAAAAGCCTGTCAAAAATTCAATGAAGTTGTGATCAATTGTCACTTGATTAGTAAAGAGGGTAACGATTAGACAATTGCTAATCTCATCAATAACATTTCACAAAGTTATGAAGAACACAACACAGAGCAAGTTGATATGAAATTGGCATTAATGACTCTTAAAACAATGGGAATAGCAATTAATAATCCTGTAGAATGCAATGAATCGCTACCTAGGGTTGTTAAAAATATCAAAAATTAGCGTTTTGAAGACACCATGGTGTCTTATAATTTTCCCTTCCTTATTGGCGTGTAGAAATAAATGCGCCAATAGATGAAAGAAGAAGAATTGTTTTTCTCTTAATGAACTTTAATCCTTTTGATATAAGAATATTAAAAACATTAATATAATTTCGATTTCGGAAATTAAATTTCCAAATTTTTTGTCGATTTCGGAAATAACAGGATCCCGCATCCAACACGCAACAACAAAACACAAAACACACTTTTTGGTTCTTTCATCGTTTTAATCGTAATTTATGTAATACATGATTTGGATAAATTTTACAAAAATAGAACCTATATTATATTCTTTTCAAAGATTCTTGCAAATCATCAAAAATAATTGTATTTTAAAAAACGATCAAATTATCCTTTCATTATTTTAAACTTAAATTAGTTTTTATGATTGACTAAAGCAATCATATTTATTCAACATTAAATAAACAAAAAAATAATATTTGAGAGTTATTTCAAAAAAAAACATTGAATTTATTAATTTGTCTCAATTTCAGTATTATAAATTTTTATAATTTCAATATTTTGAAATACACTTTTTAATATTTCAATATTTATGATATTTCAATGTATTAAGTGGTCTCAAATTGAGCTTCTCAAATATAAGTTGGCCTATTCAAATAATAAAATTAAATAATATTTAAAATAATAAATAAATAAAAGTGATTGAGGTCATAGCAAAACGGCTGTTTCAGTCATTAATTCTTAAAAATAAAAAGGGTGAAAACTAAATAAAATGGGTAAAATTCAATAGTGTCTGTGCTATCGTTCAATTTGAAGGTGTCTTTTGAAACCGCAAGACACATTGAATTTTTGAATAGTGTATTATGGCTTGACAGACACCAATGAAAAAAATAAAATAATATTTATTTTAAATATATTGTTGTAAACAGAAATTCATCAAAAGTGACACCTCAGAAAAGCTAAAATATTGAATTTTTGGAACTTTTGATAGAGCACGTTTTTAAATATTAATTAAAGTAAATGTATATTTTGTAAAGATTCTTTTTAATAAAAAAATAAAATTTTGAAGAAGAACACAAAATCTTCTGAAAAATAATATCACATAAACTCAGATTATTTTCTAATATATAACTATTTTATATAAAAATCAAATTCAATGATCTTAAAAGCGAAGGATAAACCTCAAAATTTACGAATATAATGTGTGGGAATATAATGCTTATCTATCATAAAACCATATGAAATATCAATTTTTGCTTTACGCCTAATTTTTGACGACAATTAGCAAAAAATGTTAAATGTTAACACTCAGTCCATTTGAATATGAAAAATAAAATTGACTTTGATTAAATGTTTTTATTTATCATGCAATTCTTCTTGCGACCAAAGATTTGAATAAAATTTCAAAAAATAAGATAGCTTAAAAAATAATATACGGTAGTGTTTACTAATAGATGAATAGTATATAAATTCTATTAAAATGGATTTGATCCAAAAAAATATATAAAATTGATCATAAATAAAATCGTTTTAAATTACTTCTTCATTTAAATTATAACAATTATTTTTGGTTTTATATTTTTTTGGATCAAATCCATTTTAATAGAATTTATATACTATTCATCTATTAGTAAACACTACCGTATATTATTTTTTAAGCTATCTTATTTTTTGAAATTTTATTCAAATCTTTGGTCGCAAGAAGAATTGCATGATAAATAAAAACATTTAATCAAAGTCAATTTTATTTTTCATATTCAAATGGACTGAGTGTTAACATTTAACATTTTTTGCTAATTGTCGTCAAAAATTAGGCGTAAAGCAAAAATTGATATTTCATATGGTTTTATGATAGATAAGCATTATATTCCCACACATTATATTCGTAAATTTTGAGGTTTATCCTTCGCTTTTAAGATCATTGAATTTGATTTTTATATAAAATAGTTATATATTAGAAAATAATATGAGTTTATGTGATATTATTTTTCAGAAGATTTCATTCTATATGCCTATGAAAAGTACTCTCAAAACTAACTTTTCCCTAATTATAATTAAATCTAGAATATTGTATTATGCTTAGTATTATTTCATTTTTCTCATTCAATTTAGAATTTACAAATGTCAAAAAATTGAGAGCTGTCACTTTTGATGAATTTCTGTTTATTACAATATAAGATCCTTATATAAAATATAAATATTTTATCGTTTCATTTTCTTGTTTTAGAAATGTTTTTTATTGAAAAATCAATAAAACTAACTCCAAAATAAAATTTTTGATTTAAAGACACTATGATGACACCAGGCAAATCTTCCAAGACACCTATCGTCGGGAATCTAACAACCCTATCGCTACCTATACCAGGAAAAGATGAAGAAAATTATCTATTTAAATTAGCTTATGCGAGAGCAACATTTACAGATTCGAACTGGCAGGTTTCGGAGAATATCTGCAAAATTAGAACCGAACACAAAGACAAAATTCTTGAAAAAATCGAAGCTAACGACGATGAAAATGTTAGCTTGGGTGCGATGATTGCATTGGGTGCTGAAATATTTGATTCAGAAGTTACAAGATACATCAAGATCAAAGGAAAGACAGAGCTTGCAAATAATCATGACGTGGATGTTCAAAGGAATTCTCAAGCTTGTTTCCAAATTGATCCTCCAAAGTTTAATGTTACTGCCAAATTAACAGCGAAAATGATTGAGTTTATCGATAAAGTTGATCTTGATATCCAAGCAACACCTTCTCAAAAACCAGCTGACAATTCACAAAAACCATTGGATACTCCACAAAAAATTGCAGAAAAGGCAATCAAAAATTGCATTATTTTGTCATTTTTATCAAAATTATTTGATGCTGTATCTGACAAGAACAAATTTGCTGAAAAATTCCCGAAGATGAAGGAAATATGCAAGAAGTTCAAAGATACAGTAGTTCCAAATTACACAAACTCCAAGTACTCTTACTTCATCAGACAGCAGCTGAAAAGAGTTTGTGAAAAGAATGGTATTAAAGACAAATTTATTCCTTTGACACATTGCGGTGAATGCAAGGATTCTATGTTCAATGGCAGTCCTGATACATCATCAGTCTTCGTCCATACGAAAATGATTGATGTCAATAATGCTATAGAAATTTCATTCACAGATATGAAGACTCAACTCAAATATATTGGTTTCATTTCTGAAAACTGGGATTGCACATTCCTCAGTTTGCTTGATAGGAATATCTACATGGATAAGAAGTTTGTCCCTTACACAGGCTCATTGTCAAATATAACTTTGTGGATGGACAATAACTACCTTTGTTTCGGAAATGTCAAAATCGACAGCGGTGAAACAAAGAAACGCTGGGCATTTGTTATCACAGTTTGCGATGATTCTCTTGTCGAATACAAGTTTGTACAACCAAGGAGCACTTCACTTAAAGCTAATGCACCTCCAACAAAGCAACATAGATTTGACCTCAATATGATTTTCCCCAAAGTTTGTCTCGGAATGCAAGTGAAAATCGAAAACCATTCTGATGTAAATATATCCAGATTGGAAGCTAATTACGGTTATACTATTACAGGCTGCAATTTCGAAAACAGATCAACAGAAACTTACATTGTTCCTGCAAATCAAATCACAACACAATACACCCCATTTGACACCGTTATGATTTGCGCAGAAATAGAAAACAGAATCGGAGATCCAACACAATTATTAAATGATTTGTTACAAACATGTAAGAACTACTCGATTTCATTGATCAAGACAATGCTTCCTTATTATCTTCCAGAAATTAATAGCGAAATGGCATTGAATATGATCACGAAATTGTCTGACACATCATCAAAGCAAGAACTGGACCAAATTAAAGCACTAATGAAAGGAAAAGAAAACGATATCAAGGCCAAATTAGAAAATACTGTAATGGAAGGTGAAAAAGATCCAAAATTCACTGCTGGCAGAGATATCAATCAACTTTACAATTCCACTTACGGTGCATCACAGATCGGTATCTTCCAAGCATGGAATCACGGTATTTTCTATGAAAAGACATTCGTACAAGGCCTTAAATTGTTCTTCAAGTATAAGAAAGTTTGCCTCGGTTTCATTCCAATGATTCTTAAAACATTCAATAAGAATCTTCCAAATGATTTGGAATCAGCAAAGATGATCCTTAACTTCTTCAACAATCCAACATACGAGGGCTACTTCAGCAACATGTCTGAAAAGGATTACACAGAATATTTCAACAACTTAGTTACTTTTGTTTTCGAACGCGATCCAAATACAATTGTCGCTAAACAAGCACATTCATCATTGATCAACAAATGTGCACAGTCACTTATTGGCGACTTGTTCACTCTTGGCAAAAATGTATCTAACAAAGCGAAACGAATGCCACCATTGCTTCTTTTCTCCGACAAAGGTGCAACATTTTCAAAGTGCGTTGTCAAGAACAATAATTACTATCCTGTTGAAATTTTGTTGCCAAATGGCACAACCAAAATCATCACAAGTAATTCATATTCTTCTTGCGAAGCTAACAAAGGATACAGATACCATTTTGGCACTGATGGCAAACAAGTTTTGTCTGACTGGAAGAATTACATCGAAAAGGATTTCTCCGGAGTTTATAAACCACTTTTAGTCGATTACATGTTGAAGAATAAGATCTGTGACGCTAAAATCGGTGATTACCCATCAATTGTCTTATTCTTTGCAAACATCGGTTTATCTACATTGACAGAAGTTAGTGATGATTACTTCGATTATTCCACACCAGAACTGAATCCTATTGACAATTACTTTAATGATGATGCCAACATTAAAGTTGGATGGTTAAACAATTTCAGAGATTGGGCTGCTGAAGGAACAATCGGATATTTGAAGATTGATATCACTAGGACACATTCTCACGGTGTTAACTATGATTCTCCAAACCTTATCAGAATCATTGATTACCTTGCTAGAGATGAAGCTCATTTCCCATCAAAAATCATCGCATTCAGAGCAAAAGAAAACAAACTTATGTATGTCGCTGAATACGAAGGAACAACTGGCCAAGATGTCGGTGGTATGTTCAGAGATTCATTCTTCCATATGGTCAATGAATTAATGGATGTTAATATCCGATATTTCATCAAGCCACCAAACACTCTTCATTGTGAAAAGAATCGCTTAGTTCCTGCATCGAACTTACCAATCAAAGTTGCAAGTACAATTGGTTCTCTCATTGCTAGTGCTATTGCAACACGAAATGCACACAAAGCTTGGAATCTTCCACGATTCATTTGGGACAGTTTTGTTACTAACTCAGACCTTTCTCTGCTTGTTGACTGTGATGACGAAAGTTATTTCAACAGTCTCAAAAACATTGTTAATGCTATGCGCAAAGGATTCTGGAAAGTCATTCCTCTTGACAAAGTTAAAAACTTCTCCGGCCGCTTCATTGAAGGATTAACATGCGGTGTCAAGAAAGAACTTGACTTTAATTCATTCATCGCCTACTTCAGTCCACCATCAAGAAATTGCGTTGTTTGGCCAGTTTTCACCCAAGCAATTTCCAAATTCACTTCTCAAGAATTTTCCAAATTAATGGGATTCATAACTGGAAACGAAACTCCAAAGAATGCAAAAGACTTTTGCTTGAAGTTAGCTGATAAATCAACAAGCTATCAAGATGAAAATAGTTTCGCGCTTCCATTTGCTCACACATGTTTCAATTTAATTGAAATTATGCCATATAAAACACCAGAACTCCTAAGACAAAAATTGATAATTTGCTTCTCATTCCAAGCAGAATTTAATGATTAAATTATTATTTTATTTATTTTAATTCTAATTAACTTTTATATTGCTAAATATGAACACAAATAAATAATTTATTAATGTTTTATATTGCTAAATATGAACACAAATAAATAATTAATTATGGCATTAAAGGGCACACTTACTTTCTGACATTCTCCAGATCAAATTTCGAAATTAATTAGATTTATAACTGGAAACTAAACCCCAGAGGTTTCAAAGGAATCAACAAGTTATTAAAATGAAAATAGTTTCTCGCTCCCAAATGCTAGCACATGGTTCAATATAATTGAAATTATGTCATTCAAAACACCAGAACTTCTCAGAGAAAGACTGAAAATTTTCATCAGAACAGTCCTTTTAAAAATTATTTTTATTATTTTAGATTTTTAATCAAATAGGTAATTTCTTACAATCAAAAAGTTTTCTATGCATAGTTTGCTATACGAACAATTTCATCACTTTGATATAAAAGTGACAAAATTGACTTTTACATTGATCTTTCCAGACAAACTTAGAGTTAAACAAATATCAGATTTGCTGATTCCACAGCAACTTCAGAAACTTCTGGATATTGAAAAAGCCATTTATTCTCTCAATTCCGAAAATTTTGATCAGAACGTTTCTAAAATAAAAGATTATATTGACATTGGATTCAAAAAATATTTGGTTGATATTGCTGCTCTCAAATCACAACAAAATGAAAGAATTAACGAAACAAATTTTTTTTACAAAAATTTCGGATTTATTCGAACTGAATGTCATCTGTCCAGAATGCAAATCTAAATAACTATTCAAGAATTACAGAAAAACTTTTCGAACCAAATTATCATTTTAATAATAATGATTTACTTGATGCAATCAATTCAACGATCCAGGCTTAGTTAAATATGTAATTTTAAATCAACCTTCACTTTTAAATAAGACAAATATTGATTATAACATCAAATCAATATAATTGCAAGGGGAAATTATGAAATGATTCATTTATTTTACAATGCAGGAGTAATTTTTAGTGATTGCTTTGATATTTCTATATCATTTCGTTTAAATAATATTGCAGATTGGATTTTAGAAAATTTTAATAATTTACAACAAAGCAGTGAAACAGATATAAGATTTAACATCAGAGCTTTCGTTTTTTACGCAGAAAATGGGTTTGGTTCTACCATACGATTTCCACAAATTCTTCAAATCACTCAAATTTCTACCAGGGCTACATTATTTTTATTCATTTTACTCTCCAGATTCAAAACAATTTTACCAAATAATTAAGTTTTGTTATAAAAACGATTATTACGACTTTTTAGAGTTTATTCTGAAGAAGGGAAATTTGCCTGACATACAATCATTTTATTGTGCATTAGTTAAATTTATCGTAATTAATAAATACAATCAAAAAATTTATAATTTGTTGAAAAAGTTATATATTTTTCCTCCAAGAAACATTATGATTATAGATAATCAAACACCCGTAACATTGGCATATAAGAAAGGAACATTGAATTGTTTAAAGAATTATTAAGTACAGGTGCTGATCTTAACTATATAAAACGGAAAAACCAATACAATTTTATTATATGCATGCAAATATAAAGATTTAAATGCTGTTAAATCTGCTTTAAGCTATGGAGTCGATATCAGGGCAAAAAGCTATAAAAGTGCATTATATGTAGCGCTGCATTTGGGAAAGCTTGATATAGCAAATTACTTGGTTGATAATGGATTTGATTGCAGCATGGATCATTGCAGAGACTCTCATTCAAAGTTTCTACTTTTGGCAGCTATTAATTCTTTGGACTTCTCATTACTCAAAAAGATATACCATGCAGGAGGAAGCACAGAAATCAAACATATGTGCATTAATAGTTTGAAGTTCATTCATGGAATACTGTTTAATTCACATAATCAGAATGATGATACTTTCAGTGCTATTAATTATGCAATTGAAATCATGCAATTCTTTGCTAGGCGTTAATGTTATAATAAATGATATTGCATTTTCTTCATTGATGGATCAAATATTTAATATTGAATTCAAGATATTTTCAGTTAAAATTCCAATAATTGGAATCATTGTTTAATGATGTTTCTTGTTACAATACACATATATAAATTTATTTGAATTTAAAATGTAAAGAAATACATTAACTTTAGTTGATTTATGTATTAGTAGTATTTCCTAGTGTTTATCACATTAGACAAGATATAGCTTATACAAGGAAAATATGACAAATTCTAATTTTTATTAAATTATGATCAATACAAAAACCTTCAGAAAATAGTTTCGGACACATCCTTTAAAATACCATACTTCCACTATTTGTCAATGCTTCAATAAATGCTCGAATCTTGAAATCCACACTGAATTCATTATCATCGGGCTCAGTATTACATCTTGCCGTAAATAAATTAGTCACAATTTTTTTTAATCGAAATAAGACTAATAGAGAAAATTGGATATCTTATGTCTTATATATGTACCAATTTTTTTGATGAAATTTTAGTTAACGTTTTATGTACTGCATTATTCGATAAGACGTGATTTTTTCATGTCTTGTTTGCCATTCAAAAAATAAAACATGTTGTCAAAATTTGAGAGAAAATTCAATTGGAAATTAAATTTCAGAAAAATGAATGAATATCCTCACGGCTTTATAGCTACACGCGAAGCTATAAAGAGGATAGATGGTATCCGTTCATTCACAGATTTAGGATTTCCTGTTCTCTTAATGGGTCCAACAGGATCAGCAAAAACTACATCTGCAAAGATTGCGTTAAATAATCCAGAATTATTTAGCTGCAGCTCTGAAACAACTGGTGAACAGCTACTTGGTAGAACAATTCTTCAAAAATCTGGAAATGAAGTCACAAAATTCGAAGAAGGCCCATTTACGAAGGCATTCCGCGATGGAGGCTGTCTTATCATTGATGAAATCAATCTTGCACCTCCAGATATTCTTCAATGTATAGAAGCTTCTCTTGATTCTGGCAATCTTGAGCTAAATTCGATTGGTCAGAATAACTATAAGCCAATTCCTCGAAATAATAACTTTAAGCTTGTAGCAACAATGAATCCAGCCAATGAAGATTACGTCAAGAACAGAAACAAACTTTTGCAAAAATTCCAATCAAAATTCAAAATCATTTATTTCGACAATTTCGATAAACTTGAGCTCAAAGAGATTATAAGCAAGAGTGGTCTAGATAATGAAAGTACTATTAATAACTTTATCAAATTCCATGAATTTTGTGCGAAAAGAGCGTCAAAGGGAAAATCTTATAGATGCTTTACAGTTAGAGACATCAAGCTAGTTTTAAATTGCATGTCAACTAATATTCCCATTGATCATGCTATATATATTATTTATTGTTTATGTTTTCCAAAGTCAACAAGAGAAGAGTATGAAAAAGAATTCAAAAAGTACTGGGGAGAAATACCACAAATACCTATTGACAATGTTCAAATTCAGAATTGCATAAGAAATCCAATTCTTTCACGTTCAATTTCAACAGCCAATATTTTGTCAGTCAAAAACAGACAGCCTCTTCTTTTGATTGGTGAAAGCAACAGCGGAAAGACAGCTATAGCTCGCTGGCTGTCAAGATACTATCATCCATCTGCATCCCAGCCAATGACTGTCATTTGCACTCCAGAAACAACAAATGCAGATCTTCTTGGAAGGCATACAATTGATGCATCAAATCAAATGCAAGGAAATATCAAAGACACATGGGTTGATGGACCAGTTATTAGAGCTCTTGAAGGAGGATCGGTTCTTCTTCTTGATAACATCAATTGTGCTCCTTCACAGGTTATAGAAAGGCTTAATACATTAATAGATAAAGCTTATCTTACTGATCAAACATTCCATGTAAATGAACGCCCTGAAAATCAAATTGTTCATATTCACGAAAACTTCAGAATCATTGCAACCGCTGGAAGAGAATCAATCAAATTGATGAGTCCTGCTCTTATCAATCGTTTCGCAATTGTTTATATTGATAATCAGTTTGAAGATGAAAGTGAAACAAGACAAGTCTTCAGCGATTACATTGATACAAATGTAGATTCATATTCTGCAAGAAATCTCATTAAATCAGATTTATTGAAGTATAAACTCAAAATCAAAGTAATAGAATGCATCAATTTCTACATTAAAATCAAAGGTTTATACAAGGAGATTTCAGATAAATCAATTATTGCATTCAGTAAGAATGTTTTCCTTGGAACAAATGAAGACGTCGGCAATGATTTTGCTGATGTTATCATCAAAGCACAAAAGAATGATGATACACAGTATTTCCATTTCAAACAATCACCACAAATCAAAAAATTGATGGCTTCTTTAATTGCATTATGCAATGCAGGAAAACATGTTGTTTTGCAATCACAAACAGGCTATGGCAAAACATCAGCTGCTGAAGCTTTAGGAGAGATACTTGAAATTCCTGTTTTCAAGGTTGCTTTCAACAATGAAACACAAATCGGAGAATTGTTTGGCAATTACACAATTAGTGAAAACGGTTTCAATCAGAAAAGAGGTCCTCTTACAGAAGCAATGAGTGTTGGAGGCATATTCGTTGCTGATGAGTTGAATCTCGCAGAATCAAGTGTCCTCAAATCACTAAGAATCGCCATTGAACCAAAAGAAGGTGAAGAAATTGAGTTACCAAACAATGAAGATACAGTTACTGTTTCTCCAAGATATTTCTTCATTGGATGCCAGAATGACATTTCTATGATAGGAAGAAAGAAATTGCCAACAGATTTGACATCAAAAATAGTTATGCTTGAATATCCATTGATAGGAAAAGATGATTTAAAGAACATTCTTAGAGATATTATCTTCGAGATGAATAGCGAATTAATGGAATATCTCGATATACAACTGATTTAATGATACAAATCAGAGAATCAGAATTATTAAAGTCCAAACCATGGTCATTCCGTGAGGCAAGAAGATTCTTTAGACGCATATTGCATTTCAACAAGAACACAACAA